TTTGTTTTTTCAGGGATATGATATAATAGTTTTGACAATGCATTTTGCAAATTGAGAAACATAATCCATTGCAGTATGAGGACAGTTTTAATATACTTGATGACATATGGTGATGTTTCTCATCCCAGTGGCTGAAGGATGATAGCAACAATGTTCAAGAACAATACATATAAGATTCGCCAGCGGTGCATAGAAGTAGTAGTCAACTGCTAGAAGTGAGTCAAGTGAATTCCACAATGAATCTCCAACTGCAGACCAACATACAGTATTTACTACTCTATTTATATGAATGGGGCAATACCCATTATCATCCGTAGGTATGCTATGGCAAATAGATTTGACAAGCTAATTTATCAAAGGTTAAATAAGGATACTATTAATATGAATTATTTTCCAATTTGAGTGTTATTCTCCAAATGTAGACATTAAAAGAATTAACGATGAGTTTGTTTTTCGAAAGAATTATCTTAAGTTTTACTTATTGAAATATTTTGTAGAGAATGATGATTTTTTTCTTATTTTGTTCAAGATCATTCTCATCTAGGCTGCCATATCTGGTCTAGTGCTTCTGCTATATATTTAAGGATTCTTGATAAAATCCAATGAAGAATCTGCAATGTTATTTGTCCTGATCTGACATCTTGGCTTCAGTCCCTTTCCCACTGTTATAACATAGTTTCCCTTTTCCTTTTTTATAAATACTTTTGTTGTAATTGTTCTGATGAACTTTCCTTTATGGGATCTAGACTTTATGAATTTTAGTGCGGTACTAGATTTGTAGCATGGTTTCACCATTTTATGGTTGAATCGGCTTGATAAGTCGTAAGTTCTATGCTAACAGTTTCTTCTATTGCATTTCTGAACTGTATAACTCTCTTCTAACTTCTTGCTTTCCAGCCTACTTTGATTTTACAAAATTAAATGCAATGTCAGTCGTTACCTACTGTCTTCTCGATTTATCTTTTTTCATTCTCCCTCCTTAATAATGTTTTTCTTTTTCTTATTCTTTCACACTCAATAACCCCTTATGTCTTAGTGGCTTTACTGCCTTGCTTGGGGTGAATTGATTAAAAAAAAAAGAAAAGAATACTATGAATACCTATGTCATCAGCATAATCCCCCCCACCCCAAAAAAAACGATCCTCAGTAAATTGACCTCAGGCGGTAAAGCAAGAATGCTAAGAATTCTGTATTTGGCCCTGCAACCAAGAATGTTTGGGAAAAATAAAGAAATTGGATTCTGTACCTCAGAAAGCTTCTCTCACTCGATAAAGCAGGTGAGATTCACTTCTCTCGAATATTATTGATCTGTTTTTGGTTTAATAAATAATTTCATGTTTATTAATTATGCTGAACACAAGTCTGTAGTTGACAGGTCTATTAATTGAAATAAACTTTAAAACCAACATTTATAGAAATAAAAATGTCGCACTAGAAATAGAGATAATGGAATGTGGAAAAGAAACACTCTTGCAGTCTTCTAGAAAGAGATAGGGCCGCTTGAGTTCATGCCTGCTTCTTTTACCTTACTTAAAAGAGATATGAGAATAAGAGAAAAGAGAAGGAATTGGAAACAGTTGCTAAACAAATACAGTCAGCCAGTTATCTCCCTTCTCTTAGCCGGGAATAGGTTCCAAGACTCCCTGCAGAGGGCCTGAAACTGCAGATAATACCAAATCATCGAAATTAATAATGAAATAAAACAATTATAAAAATGTATTTGTATTCGGTCTATTGTCCTCATCCTTGTTGTTGTTACCACAGTATTTTTGCTATATTTTTTTGACTAAAAGTAAGAACTGGATGATATACCTAGACATGGATGGTGGAATGAAAAGTTTACCTTAGTAGATATTTTACCCACTTTTAGAATATCTTAGTTACTGCTCACTCATTTCCACTAAGTACACACTACCTGACCCAGGGATTGAACTCGCAATCTCTATGTCACCAAATTCACAAACCAACACTTTAATCTACTTGATTATTATCCTGTAGACAGAAATTATAAAAATATGCTATAATAAAAGTTGTGTGACACATCAAAGATTTGTTCTCACAATAGAAATTATTCAGTTCAATAATAAAATAGAACAATTATAAAATTATATGCTGAAATAAAGGTTATATGACAGATAAAAGCTTAGTTCTTACTTTAGCAACTTCAGCGTAAAAGTATTTTGAGGGCTGACATGATTTTCTTTTCAGCTTTTGTAACATTGTATTTCTTTCATCTTAATTTCACTTGTGTTTCATCTTGTAGTATTAGTAGTATTATCTTGAATTTTATTTGAAGTATTGGCAACCATTATTATTTAATAACTAGTATTTCTTTCATCTTATTTTCACTTGCTTGTTCATCACAATTTCTTAGATTGTCAATCTACAAGTCCTATTAAATAGCATGAATCACAAAGACTATAATTTGGGTGAGACTTGAACTCTGATCAGTGGAGCTGTTATGGAAAAAAGGCTAAACCAGGGCAATATGAGTCATAAATATTGCTTGTTTCAATGTTCATTTTAGTGGAAGTGAGATTTCTGTTAACCTCTATCATTCCATTACATTTCATTTTCATTTGTTTCAGAGACAGTATGGAAAGGATTCTTTTTTTTTTTTTTTTTTTTTTTTTTTTTTTTTTTTTTTTTTTTTTTTTTTTTTTTTTTTTTTTTTTTTTTTCTTTTTTTTTTCCTTTTTTTTTATTTTTGCCTTCTAGATAACTTTGGCTGGCCAAAAGATGATATTTATTTAATTCCAGAAATCTTTGGACTAAGATTTTTCTCCTTGTTTTTTTTTTTTTTTTGTTATCAATACATTTCAGCCAATTAAATTCTGTGGTCATTATAATTTTACTTACATTATAACCCGCCATGATTTCTTTCTCTTTTGTTGCTCTCATCTCTTATATACAAAATATACTTCATTCTTTGTCCTCTTTTCTTTATTCTCTGTCCACTTTTCTTTTGTCTTTTTTCCTCTTTTCTTTGTCCTCTTTTTTTCCTCTTTTCTTTGTCCTCTTTTTTTCCTCTTTTCTTTGTCCTCTTTTTTTCCTCTTTTCTTTGTCCTCTTTTCTTTTGTCCTTTTTTCTCCTTTCTTTATCCTCTTCTTTCCTTGTCTTCTTTTGTCTTTGTCCTTCTTCCTTTGTCCTCTTTTCTTTTTTGTCCTCTTCTTTTTTCTTTGTCCACTTTTCCTCTCTTCTTCTTTCGTCCTCTTTTCTATTTTCCTCTGCCTCATTTTTCTACTTTTCCTCTTCCTTCCTATCAAATCCTTTCATGTTTTCCCTTTCTTTCTCTTTTCTTTCGGTTATCCTTCCACCCCACTGGCTTACATTTTCATCTGCTGTTTTGATTGGATGAAACTAATCCAAACTTCCTCCTCTAACTCCTCCAACTCCTATCACCCTGCATTTTACTTACCATTACCTACGATTGTCCAATAAATCTTTGACTGTCAGCTTTGGTTAGATTCCATAATGATGTTATATTGACAAAGGAATCTTTTGTTGGCAGAAGCTGGAACAAGAATGTTTCATTAACTTTTTCTGGTGGTGCATAAAACCTCCCAACTTGTAAAAAGCAAGAAAAATAATCGTTTTTAACATTTTCGTAGAGAAGGGAAGGAGGTTGCTTTTGTCTTTTCTTGCCTGACTCTTTGTTCTTGGAGTTCATTTAGTGCAGTTACCATCACTCCACACGTTTTGACATCCCCTCCCCCAACTCTATTTCTCCTTTTTCAGATAATTTTTACCAAATTCCTTTTTCGTTTTACCTTTTTGTCTATATTTTTTTTGTTTTTACTTTTTGTCAGTTCTCACAATCCACCACTAACACCCCTACCCTCACCACTAAGGACTTATAAATAACGAACTTTCTGCTCCAGAGTTTCATAAGAGAGGTGGCAACAGAACAGCCTTGTTCACTCTTGTCATGATTTCATAAAATTCTTTTATAGACAGCATTACTCTATAGAGATTGCATCGTACAAAAACTTTTTTTTATCATCATTCCACTCTGAGTAAAGTGATAAAGTCACTAAGATGTAAAGGGTTACTGAGAATGAGAGAAACTTAGAAAGACATAACCGGGGGGAAAGCAAAATAAAAAGAACATCATTCAAGGAAACAGACAACAATGATTGATGTTGCTTGATTTAAATTTTTGAAGATCGTAGTTGACAGAAAAGCCAGCAGAAAGTTCTACAAGTCTGAGAGAAGAAACTATTAGAATAAAAATTACAGTTTCATCTAGCAATTTCATTGATGATATTTTGAGACCTAACTGCCAATCTAGTAGTCATGAAGTTGAGGTACCAAAGAGGAAAGCAATATTCATTTAAAAAAATACAAAAATGTGGCACAAGGTCAAAAGGGGAAATAGGGAAAGGTTTGTTTTCAATCTATCTTGAACTTATCTAGCTGTGATTACTGACCCAAACATACTACAGTATTACTTAAAACCAAAAGAACACATTCTTGCTTACCATTCTTACTACAGCCACCATAATACCTCAAAATCTCTATGAAATCATAACTAGTTTCTATATTTGCAATTTGTCTGCTGGAGTGTGGGGACAAAAATAACAACCAAAAAGGTAAGCTCATCAGAAGAATTGCCAGGAAAATATTTATAGAAAAGCCAGAGAGAAGACATGTTATGACAGTGATAAAGTGATTGAAGCTGAGATGCCAGGTCAGGACCTATAATATTACCTCTGTTCCATAATAGTTCTTACATTTGCATATACATTTCATTATAGAACAGAGGTGGTATTAACCCATTAATGTCCACTACAAAATCTGGTGTTATACAGCGTGTGGCAGAAATACCTCCCACACAATGCTAAGACTCTTTGAAGATGAAGACACCATTGTCACTAATGTCTTACCATTATGTGGGAGGTATTTCTGTCACACCTTGTAGTTTCTTTAAAAATTCTCCTATTAGTTTTCAGTTTCTAAAACAAATAGTTTTTTATTATGTATTTGGTCTCTTATTTTATAGTCAAATCATACGGAAAGCACCAGTTCTCCTTTGATCACCAAAGTTAAGCAGCATTGAGCTTGGTCAGTACTTAAATGGGGCACTGTTTGAAAACACTGGGTACCCTATGCATTAGGAAAGTAAAGCCCTCTATATTTTGATGCTTGCATTATAACAGGTTCATATTATGGGTTACAGTATTAAAGAATCAGTGTACTTGCACTAAGTTTTGATAATCTCTTCAGTAAGTCAAGCATAGAAACAAATACCTGTAAGAAAGAATAGGTTCCAGAATCCAAAATTTCACTACCTGATTGTTCTACAGGATAATAGCCTAGTGTATATAAAATTAAGTGTTACAGTTTACCTGGTACTTGTGAGTTAAATCCCAGGTAAAAGTCATATACGTTAGTTCAGTAGAAGGAGAGAAAAACTAGTGTGAACTGGAAGAATTAACTAATCTGAGATTATCTCATAGCATGGAGAGAAGAATATGAATCTTTCTGGATCGAATAAAGAATTCAATTCAAAATCTAAATTCATTACCAAATCGAATCAGCACCTGAAGAAGCCTGAAGGGTAGAACAGATGAAATGTGAGAATTACTAACCTTATGAGGACACCAGTTTGAATAATTCACTGTATTATAATTCCTCATCTCAGAAATAACCTGAACATTGTGACGATGACAACCAAGACAGTTTTTTTTTCTGCAAAGATTTTTATGGTTACTGCTCTGACAAGCTTTTCTTCCGGTGCCCTGATGAGCTTTTTCCCTGCTGGTGCTCTGACGAGCTTTTTCCCTGCTGGTGCTCTGACGAGCTTTTTCCCTGCTGGTGCTCTGACGAGCTTTTTCTCTGCTGGTGCTCTGATGAGCTTTTTCCCCATGGTGTTCTGACAAGCTTTTCCCCGGTGCTTTGACGAGCTTTTCCCCCCTGGTGCTCTGATGAGCTTCCCCACCCCCAGTGCTCTGATGAGCTTTTTCCCCCCTGGTGCTCTGATGAGCTTTTTCCCCCTGGTGCTCTGATGAGCTTTTTCCCCCTGGTGCTCTGACGAGCTTTTTTTCCACTGGCGTTCTGACGAGCTTTTTCCCCCCTGGCGTTCTGACGAGCTTTTTTCCCCCTGGCGTTCTGACGAGCTTTTTTTCCTGGTGTTCTGACGAGCTTTTTCCCCCCTGGTGTTCTGACGAGCTTTTTCCCCCTGGCGCTCTGACGAGCGTTCTGACGAGCTTCCCCCACCCCCCCAGCGCTCTGACGAGCTTCCTCATCCCCCCCAGCCCCGGCGCTCTGACGAGCTTCCTCCACCCCCCCCCCCCCGGTGCTCTGACGAGCTTTTCCCCTCCTGATGCTCTGTCAAGCTTTTTCCCTGCTGGTGCTCTAATGGGCTTTTTCCCCCTGGTGCTCTGACTTCATGAATTTAAGCATGTACTAGATTGCCATCTAGGCTGACCCTTTTACTGTTGAAATACCAAAGTGCAACTGCAACTTCTACTCCAATAGTTTCTTTTCTCACACTTCCTACCTGTGAAACTTCTTTCTTTTTACTTGCTTCCCTGATAGCTACAATCTTCAAAAATTTACATGTAACATCAATCACCATCTTCAGTCTTCTTGAATCTACTTCATCTTTTGTCCGTTTCTCAATTCTCCCTATTCCCAGCCTTCTCTTTCACTTTGACTCTCTGTAACCCTAACCCTGCATACTAGTGGCATTCCCACCTTGCTTGGGGTGAAAGGATTAAAAACAAAAAAAAGTTTGAATAAATCCGTGTATAATAATGATGATTTCTCATCTCAGAAATAGCCAAACATTGTGAATATAACAATCAAGATGAGGATAACAGTGTGAATAAATCTGTATTTAATAATAATAATAATTCCTCATTTAAGAAACCTAGACAGAAAATGGTATCTGTTATATTTATGTATTCTTTTTTTCTTTTTTTTTTTTGTTGTAAGTGGCCTATGGGGTTTTCTGCCAGGCCCTTTTTTCCCCCTCTTCAATCTTGACCCCTTTTTTTCTACTTGCCTATAACACATTCTGTTGCCTTTTCTTGAAACTAACAGTTGTGTCGTGCAAGTTGTTATGCATCCACACATGAATGCACGTGTTCGTGCATGCGCAATGCATCAGGAATGCATTCCTTTTTGCTTCCCTTCTTCCCCAGTTTAATGCATTCGTAACACCCCCACCCCAGGCTACCCCCTCCTGTGCTGCTATCTTAAGTGTTCACTCTCAGCTTCGCATTGGGCACATGTTTAAGGAAATCAGAATCTGGTGCTTATCGATGTGTGAAAATTCAATAATAATAATAATTAGCTCTTTTGTTTTTTTGTTTTTTACTTTTTATGTTTTTTTTTTTCTGTGTTCATTGTTGCAGTACAGTGGTGAGAGCATTGGGCTGGAAATTGTTGAGGCACCAAGATGAGGTTTTTTGAACTTTCGATGATTATTGCCTTCAGAATATGACCGGATCCTCTTTCAAAAGATAGATAGCAAAACATCGCCAAATATTCCTTCCCCTCCCCAACTCCTCCTCCATCCCCACTCCCCAGTGTGATAGTTTAAAAAAAAAAAAAAAAAATCTTGTCTCAACTTTTAGGACAGATTTAATTGTTAAATTTATAGTTTCCCTATTGGTTATAATTTTTTTTAGTTTTATAAAATGAAGTCATTTTCGAAGTTTGCTTGCTGAGGTTTACAGTCTTATTGTCTGTTTCTTAAATACTTTCTTAATCATATCAGAAAAAAAGATACTCAGACACTGATAAGAGACTCAAGTGACATTCAGGAAGAAAAGCAGTCGTCTTCCGTAATAAGGAATAAATATTAGCTTAATGGCCTTGATATCACATACACGATACAAGAAAAACTTACCAGCTTTTGTTGAAAAAGTGACTATTTTGTGAAGAAATAATTTTTTTCTTTTACAGATACCTGAAAAAGGCTGAAGAATAGTTAGGCCAGAATATTATCGTAATAATGTCAGGAACACAAATATAGTTAAATTATTTAGGCAAAATATTATTATAGTTTATTGATTCAAAGAAATTTTTTTTTATCATTTCACCTCAAGCAAGGTGAGAAATCCAGTAAGATGCAAAAGGTTACTGTGAGTGAAAGAAAGTGAGAAGACTTTAATGAAAAGAAAGGACAATAAAAGAACAGCGTTCAGAAAAACAAAAGTTGGCGATTGATGTTGCATTTAAATTTTCGAAAATTGTAGTTGACAGGAAAGCAAAAATTCGAAAGAGAGTTCCACAGGTGAGAAAAGAAAGTGTTAGAATAGAACTTACAGTTACATTACTATTTCGACAGTAAAACGATGAAACCTAATCGCCACTCTAGTAGCATGCTTAAATTCATGTGGTGGAGGTACCAAGGAGGAGAGCTCATTAAAACAACTTCTATGAAGATATTTATAGAAAAGACAGAGGGAAGTCACGCCATGGTGGTGGGAAGGTGATGAAAGCTGAGATGTCAGGTCGGGACCAATAACATTGCCAATTCTTTGGATTTTATCAAGAATATCTAAATATATCGCAGAAGCACCAGACCAGATGTGGCAGCAATATTTAAAGCAAGGATGAATCATGGACTTATAAATATGTAAGATAGATTGTAGTTATCATAAAAGCAAGAAATTGTGAGAGATTTCCACAGGTGCTAAGTGTGAGTAAAGAAACTGTTAGAGTAGAAAGTGGCAGTTGCATCTAGCTAGTTCAATACTAAAACGATGAGGAAAGAGCAAAAAGGAATGGCGTTCAAGAAGAGAGGAGATGGCAATTGATGTTTCATTCAAATTTTTGAAGGTTTTAAGAAGATATGAAGATATTTATAGAAAAGACAGGGAGAAGCCACATCATGGTAGTGGGAAGGTGGCTGAAGCTGAGATGCCAGGTCAGGACCAATAACATTGCCGATTCTTTGGATTTTATCAAGAATATCTAAATATATTGCAGACCATGTACAAGGTGAACATTAAAACAAGGCCTAACATGAATTTTCATTTCGTATGGGGAGAAAATGTGAAGTTTGTGTATATATGGTCCTTGTGCTGCTATTAATCTTAATTAACATTCTAGTTTTATTTGCATTTAAATAATTTATGGGGTGTATTGAATTTTTACAGTTTTCAAAACAGGTATTAAAAATATTTAGATCAAAAACAGGGAAAAGAGAAGGAAAAAAAAACTATATTTACCTTAAAATAAAAAAATTATTTACATTATTTACAATTATTGTAATGTTCACATCTTTCTTTTTTTTTTTTTATCATGCTTCCATCAGTCTACCCTGTGGCTTTCTTCAGATGTCGAGTGGTATGGATAATCTTTAAGCCATTTCAAACTGAACCCTTTATTTAATCTGTAGTGGTAGATTGCTCATGTTCTCATTCTAATATCCATGAAACTCATAGGTCTTGGCAAAGATCATCCTTCTTTGAACATTGTGAACTGGCACTAGAGATTCACAGAGATCTGTACCAAATAACAGAAACCACATCACTTGAAGAGTACCAACAGCAGCAACAACTAAAATGGATAACACATGTAACTTGAAGAGAAATTAATGACATGATCAAGATTTTGACATTCCACAATACAGAAGTGTTATGTAATGTCACTTCTATATGCCAGTGAATACTGGACAGTCTCCTCAAAAAATGAAGAAGAGACTTGAAATAACAGAAACAAAGAAAAGGTTAGGAAGGAAATCCCCATCAATACTGGAAAGAGCGATAACAGCTACTGGACTTAAGAAACCTGTTTTTCTGAAAAAATGTTTTAACCTTTTGAGCTCTGACCACTTCTTTACCGGTGGTAGAGACAAATGACTTAATACCCAGCTGTTGGTTGAATGGTGGGTAAACATTTGTAATTATTTTTATATCTACTGTGAAAAATTATATACCAATTATTTGCAAATTTTGTCTCAGGAGCTCAGGCAGAAGGGTTAAAATTGTTCAGGAATGCAGGGGTCAAAGGGTTAACAGAAAAATGTTATAAATTTCAACCAAAAATAATATTGGCTGCTCAGTCAATGAATGCCAAATCTTTCTTTGTAGGGAAATGGCTAATATTACCATTACCATGTTTAGAGATGTCTTTGGTTAATTTTCC